AATGTACTAAGCAGATCACAAAGCAAATTGCTTATCACTAGTATGTGCCCGCTATAAACTTCTGAAGGCTATCTGATCTGCAAAATGCAAATCATTGATTGCATGTGCTTTGGGGGAGTCAGACATGTAACTGTGGCCATTTTGGAGAGAGTAAACCATCTAAGTCTTGGTTCAGTTACAGTAATGACTAATTTAATACTAGATTCTCGCATGATTACAGAAGTGTGTGAATGACTCAACCCATTAATATCCTTCACTCCTGTGATCTCCCCTCCCAGTGAAATAATGGCTGTAAGGCAATAATGATAATTGGAGGAGGAGGAGAACTTGACTTTGCCCTGTGGCAATAAAATGACACACTTTGAGTAATTACATATGCACACAGTATTGGGTGAAAGAAATGAGGAATATAATAATTTTATAAATATCATTAATATTTATGTTAAAGCACAGTGAAAGTAATAAGTAGCTTCAGTATCAGTGAAGACTGAGCTCTGTGTTTCTTTTTCCTAAAACAACTAGCCTCTGTGTAGAGTGGCAGAACCATTGGAGGCTTAGCTTAGTTGCTAACAGGCATTCACTGATGGCCTTCCTCTTGCTGACACAGGATGAGCACCACAGTCACAAGAGTGTTGGGCTCCAGTTAGCGTAGCTAAATGTTCACAAGTAGTTTTGAGCTGAAACTTAGTAGTTGGTTGAAGCGTCTGTGGATCTTTGGGGGATTATGTGTTTTTTCCTAGTGCTGCTCTATCTTTTTGAAGCCATTCATTAGACAAAGAGCTGGATATTTGGAGTGAGCCTTCGTACATTTTTCTCCTCTCACTGGAGTCACTAGTGACTTCAGCTGAGTCTGATGGAAACTTCTCAATCCTTGTTTACCTTGACCCCTTTTCCATCTTGTAATTTCACTTTGACACATCTTGAAATTCCTTCCTAGACTTCTGACACTTTTTTTGGTTGTCTTCTTAACTCTTGTGGTTTTTCTTTTTTGACTCTTCTTAACTGCCCTTAAATGTGGTGTTCTCTATAGAGTTTTGTCTTGGTCTGTTTTTTTTTTTTCCCTTTGGTGTGTTTCCATTTATTCAGTCTCCTTGGTGATCCCATTTATTTCCATTCCACATGGGTGTTTCCATGTCAGTCTTGCTGAGCTTCAGACCTGTATATCCAGCCATCTGAAGGTATATGTCACGATGATGATAACAGCGACGACAGCAACACAGCTTTGTGCTATTGAATACTCTGTGTCTGACTGCTGAATGTTTTATTGCTTCATTCCATTTATTCCTCAGCAACACTGTGCAGTTAGTGCCGTTATTATTTTCTTTTTCCAAGAGGGGAAATTAGCGGTAGATGCATTTGCTTTCAGTCTCACGTGGCAGCAATCATTGAAGCTGAGTAGCAGCTCTCCTTGGATCATTTCCTTCATCACAGTCCCCATCACTGCCCATGGTCCTACACTTACTGTGAGTTTCCTTGTGTCTCTGCTTATCTAGTTCTGTAGGTATTTATGATTCCTGGAAAAGAATATTTATTGCTGTGCTTTCCCAACTGATCATCTTCGCTGTAGTTGAATGATCTTTCTCTAATGAAATCTGTTACTTTCTTTCTCTTAGTGTTTTTGGTTTGCATTTCCTCATTGACTCTTTCTTCTCAGTCCACAAACTTTAAATGTTAAAGCCTTTATGCTGAAGTTAAAAGGAAAGGGTTAGATTTTTTTGATCATCTACTATGTGCCAAAGTTAAATACAAATATTATTGTCTACACTGCACTGAAGTGGGTATTACTGATTCCTAATTAGTGGTGAGAGAAATCCAAGGATTTCCAGAAAGATTGTCCCAATATCCACAACCAAGGGTAGACCCAGATTTGATCCCAAGGTCCATGTTTTCTCTCCATCACATCAATTTCACTTTACGCCCCTATTATCTTCTTTGTGGCCAACAAGTTTCTTAGCTCTTTCCCATGATCAGCTCCCATCTCTCTGTCCTTCTGTTAGCCACCAAACTTTGTTCATTTGTTTACACAAAACTCCCCTACTCCCTTTTCCATCTCAGCACAGCATAATTGGGCCTTCTTATGGTTTACCCATGCGTGGATATTGTTTGAGCATGGATAAATGGTAGGCATCCAACCTGACACCAGGAAGTCCTCCTAACCTGGGAGAAGTCTCACAGGAGGGTTGACAGATCACCAGCTGCAGGGCACTGTGCTGAGTGCCTGGTAATTAGATCCAGTGTTCTCCTTAGTGCTTTTCTTATTTGAGCTTTCTTACATCATTTTCCTCAAAAAGACAAGCACCTCTCTTAAGAAGAGAGAAAGGTATGGACCTAATGGTCTATTAGATCTTCTCCTCCCATCTTTGAGGTGTTTAAAATTTGTTCTAAAAAAAAACCCAAGCCATTCATATCTATTTCATACTAGAACAACACAACTCCAAAAATACTCCCCCTTATCTATTTCTCTTAAAAATACAAAGCAAGAAACCACTAAAATAGTTTAATCTCTATCTATTGCAATGATTTAAACAGATAATGAGTTGAATATTTTTCATGCTGTCATTGTGACAGCTAGAGTATATTAAGTTCTCTTTTCAGTGGCAAACCAGACCAAAGAGAAGATATTTGCTACAGTGAATTTACATGTATTTCAGCAACTTTCTGAAGGTCCTCACTGTGGGGGAAAAAATACATTGTTGTGTGAGTTTTCTTAGGGTATTGCTTATTACCATATTGTCAACCTCAAAATGCCTGTCTCTTCCATTCTGCCCCCTCCCAGTGTCTATCCTACTCCTCCGTAATAGCTGTTAATTAACTACAGGAGTTAATTTTGTTGGATGCATTTGAGTCCTTATTGAAAAAGACATTTGAGTTTACTTATCACCTGCTCAGATCAGATCTTTTCTAATCATCACTGATTGCATAATAATTTCAGACTGAAATTACTTTCAGACTGTAGGCCCACCTGATTTCCTTCCTGTAATGTAGCATTAACTTCTTAGGTCTCTGTGAGTTTGTTTTATTTTATAAATCTAGGAAAAGAGTCAATAATTTTTTTCTAAGAATCAGCAATTTATTTTCTAGGTCTAGTCTGAACTCTTCATGCTCTAGCTTTAAGTTTGTCTCATCTTGTTCTCTTGTGTAGAGGTGAGGATAGCTAGTTACTGTGCATAATAGCTCTTTTTCTCATTCATAGGCAGTATTAAATTACATTTCCACCTTCTTTTTTCCAAATTGAGCTTTATTGGTTCTTGAGCATTACAGGACTTATTTTAAATTTTTAATTACATATAAGACTTGTCATTAAAGCCTGTGTTTTCGTGACTTTTTAATGGTGAAACTAGCAATGGTTACATGTCATCAGTACAAGGAAACAGTTCTTACACTCTGCTTTGTAAATATAAATTTTAGGCATTTTGATATGCTGCTTAATTTTCATTTATATTCAGTTAATTAAAATACAGAGCAATTAAGCAAAAGAAAAATTATATATTTTTCCTCCGTGACAAAAAGTAACCAAAATAAGTAAGTTTAAGATAATCTTTTGATTTCATATGCATTGATAAATCAGAGAGATTAGAAATGTATCTCACTGACTAGAACCAAAACCAAGAATTTTTTGTATGTATCTTGTTGTCTTAGCATTATCTTTAACTAATTGGATGTAGAAGTAAGTCCTTTTATTTATTTCTGAATCTAAGGAAGGAGGAGATCAAGGTTTATGATCTCTTGAGTTGTCTTCCAGCCCCCACATTATGTACTCTAGTAACAATCATAGTTGATAAACTGTGGCTGTCAATGTGTTTAAGTTGTTTGTTTGAAATACATGTATTGAGCACTGCCTCCTATATGACAAATACTGGTAATAGTGTTAAATCAGATCTTTCAAAGATTTATACTTTGTTAGGGGGGAAAGTATAAAAATAAGAGCAATTGTATATTACTGGGGATATGGTAGAAGGCAGGGCACAGTGGTGATTTTGGTGAGCTTTGCTTGGTGACAGGAATATCTGGAAAGGGTCCAGATAAAAGAGACCAGTTGCAAAGGCCTGAAGAGCAGCCAAGGTGCAGTGTTGTAGCATCTGCTGCTGGGTTGTCGAGGCTGAGGTTGCAATGAGAAAGTAGAGACAGTGGCTCTGGAGCTTTTTCAAGGGATTGGAACATAAACAGAAAATGGGGAGAGGAAACGGATTACAAAGGTTGTTTGTTTTTTAAATATAGGAGTGAAGAGCCAGTGTAAATATTTTTGGGGGAAACAGCCTCTAGAGAGGGAATGTTTGTTCTGAAGGAGATGAAGAAGTAATTAAGAATGAACTTACCGGTTGAGGATGGATAGTGGGAGAGAGGTGGATAGATGTGTGGTAACACAAGCATAGCAAATGTTGATTGTGACATCTAGGAGGTGGACCAATGGGTGTTCACAGTACAATTCCTCTGGTTTTCTGCATGTTTGAAAATTTAATAATATGGCATAATAATATAATATTTGAGGGAAGAAGGACAGATTGAGAGTTTAGCCTTGAGGGGGAGAATAAGGGACATACTTACTCCTTTTTTAGCAGGAAATTGTGGAAGTTCAAGGCTAAAGCCTCACCTTCTTTTGTAATATAGGAGTCACTCTCACTTGCTGGGGCCAAGGGACAGAAGAAGAGGAGCTTTGATAAAGAAAAATGGAATAACCAGTGTGGCAAGTGGGAGGGGGCTGAGCAGACAGAGGGAAGAGAGGGCGATGCTCAGGTCCTGAGGAGGCTGCCTCACTTTTCAGCTCTCCCTGGGATTTCTCAGAGGACAGTAGTGGGAACAAGGAAGCACTGTATAGTTTGAGAAAGGAGATGTAGGATGAGTAGATGGGATGAATGTTTCCCTTCGCTGTTTACCAGCAGTCTTGCCCTCTGGAGGATTCTCTTTTCTACCTCATAATCTTTTTATTTGAATTACATGTTATAAAATCTTCTTAGCACTGTTACTCTCATTGAACTAGACAATTTTGTTGTCTTCCTTAGGTAAAAGAAGAACGTCCAGAAAAAATACCAGATTTAAAATTATTAGTAGAGAAGAAATTTTTGGCTTTACAGAATAAAAGTTCTGACATGGACTTTCAGAACAATGAAAAATTTGTACAGTTCAAACAACAGCTGAAAGAACTAAAGAAGCAATGTAAGTCAGCATGCTTTGCTTTGGTTTGGCTTTTTGAAATTAGGGAACTGACTTCATGAACAGTCCCGGAAAACTGATTCTCTGGCATTTGCTTATCTGCCTGGCTTGAGCCTCTTCCTAAGTTGCTTTTTATTGTTGTTGCAGTTCTGTATTTTGTCTTAACTTTTGGTTCAAATCAGCCTGTCCATTCTGAAAGCCAACAGTTTCCACAAAGTGCTAAGAAAATTCCCTAGCAGCTGAAGAAAGTTACATGTTTCTTCCCACTGCTGGAGTGAGGAATTGGGAAAGCAAAATAATGCTGAAAATCATTTTACTAAAATAACAATGGCATTTTTCAAATCTGAAACTGCTGTGCCAAGCTTTATGGTAGCCACATTTTGATTCTAGTTTTATTGCTTTGGAGTGATATTAGTGATGTTTTCTGAGAAAAACTTTTTCTTCTCAAATGTGGACCAAAATCCCCTTCACCATATCACCTTTGTGTAGTATAAATTCCATGTGACTTGAAAATTGGTTGCCTTCTTAATAAACTATTATACTTAGGGTTTTTTAAAATACTTTTTTAGTTGTAGCTGGACACAATAACTTCATTTTATCTTATTTATGATTATGTGGTTCTGAGGATCAAACCCAGCGCCCCGCACGCGCTAAGCGAGCTCTCCACCGGTGAGCCACGATCCCAGCCCTATACTTAGGTTTTTTAAGGAACATAGTTTGGACTTGAAAATGAGAGTAAGGAAATAATTTATTATACAGAAACATTTTGTAGAGAGAATTTGCCAGAAATAATGTATCTCTTCAGCGAAGTATGGATACCCTTTCCTGTTTAACAATGTTATATAAATTGACTTTTTACATTAGCATCTATTTAGCTCTATTGTCTTTTATTCTTTTTTTTTTTTTTTTTTTTAGGATTGAAGTCTTTTAATTCTTAAAGCATTGAATAGTAAAGCAAATGATTTTTTTTCTTTCTTTATATTTAGTCTCCTATTACCTTCATTTTTGTGCACATGGGGCAGGAATGTTGTACTATGTGAGACATAATTCATTTCATGCCCTTATATGTACTTAGAGTAGAGATCCATATTTTGAAATAGACTTTCTTTTACATATAAGCAGTTTCTTTAAACTGATGCTGAGATCTGAAAAAAAAAATGACTGAGGAAGCTGCTTTACTTTTGTCTATTTTACAAATAACTTGTTTCATAACTTGAAATATTTTGCAATCATGATGAGACTTTTGCTTTTACTGTAGATTTAAATAGTAAGCATCTTCCCCATATTTTAGGTCTATTTTTGTTGTTGTTGTTCATTGAATACCATGGCTGCCAAAATCTTTCTAGTGTAATTTATGCTATTCCCCCAAATGGGTAATAACCCCCAGAACAGATAATAATGTGCTAGTAGCTTTCTGATCTTATGGATGATAGTGAATTTCAGTTTCATTGTTGGTCAAAAGAGCCAGATGTGTTTTACTTTATTACATAGAGCCAATATTCACAGATTAGGCAGACCTAGCATCTAATCACAATGCCTGATTTTTAAAGGATTTTATAGTACAGAACAAAGGATATCCAAAGGAGAATTTTTTTCCTTTTTTGTTATTATTCCTAAAGAAAAACTATGAAGACTTTTAGAACAGAGTACTCCTGGTGAGGCATTTTCTAATTAACAATATATAATTCAACAAAATGATATACATTGGAATCATGATTAGTGTTTCTTTACTTTTCTCTAAAATGGGGTGTGGGAGGGAGATTTCCCAAGACCAACAGTGCACCTCCTTTGGATAGACAGTTAAACTAAACCTTATAGCAAAGTAAATTTATATTGAAAGAAATGCTTCCTTATGTAAGGTTTCCCCATATATTATAACACTGGAATTAAAAGAACTTTCCCTATAATTTCCCCTAAAATATTCTTCCAAAAGTTTTTAAATCTTGAATGACAGAACAAATAAAATATTAATCCTCTTTTAAAATGCTCTGTAAGCTGTGTATATTCCATTTCCAAAAATGGAATAGGTTTGGTTTTTTTTTTTTTTTTGGTACTGGGAATTGAACCCAGGGCCGTTTAATCACTGAGCTACATCCCCAGCTCTTTTTATTTTTTTAATTTTGAACAGGGTCTTACCAAGTTGCTTAAGGACTTGCTAATTGCAAAGGCTGGCTTTGAACTTCTGCTTCTCCTGCCTCACCCTCCTGAGCTTCTAGGATTAAAGGTGTGCACCACCATGTCTGGCTTAAAATGGAATTCTTAGTGTAGAATTATGAGCACTGCCAATTAAAATTTTATCATGTCTAGTGGATTTTAGTTCTTAGATTTTACTGCTACAAGTATCCTGGTTAGGATCAAGCTTTCACAATATTTGTGGTTCCAGGTCAGAGATACACGATGATGTATAGATGAGCTAATTTGTTTTGAGAGATGTTCTAGAGATACAGAATTACAATAATTTTTTAACATTGGAAAATAGAAGCTTGGGGAAAAGTTTGTTTCTCTTGCCTGTTTTGACAAAGTAAAGGCTCAAATGTTTCTTTGTATATACCTAAAGGGTTCTTTCATGAAAATAACCATGGTGTTTTCACTACCTTTATTATGTGAGAACATGAATTTGTAGGATTTAATTTTATCAAATCTGGATCCAATCAAAGAAATTCCAAGAAGCTCTTGGGTGGGGAGAGGTCCAGGTGGAGATTATGTGACAGGCAGGCAGTCCTCAGGGCACTCTGCTGACTGTAATTTGCTCCCCCTGATGGAGCTCAGCAGCTGGTCCTCACACTCTTTTGGTCCCATGCTGCCCTTTTATTTTTTAAATTTCTTGAGCACCCTAGAGAACTATATCTGTTGTTTATCCTATTAGAAATAAAAATTGAGGGTTTGTATGTTAAAATAAACAGCATTTGATATGAAATCTAACTATATTTTTTAAACCTAAAGAAAAGTTGCTGAGAAGAGTGACACTGTTCTGCATTTTTGCAAACATCTTGGATTCTGACTTAGAGGCAGCTAGATCCTCATCTGTGCTTCTGCATTTGGTCTGTTGTGATACATTGTTTTAGTTTTAGTAGACTACATTGGTAGTTGGACTTGCAGACCACCAGAAGGTCTCATTTGCAAACCTCAGATCTGAGCCAGGGATTGGTTACCAGATTTGTGGGCCAAATCTAGCTGCCTTCTTGTTTTTATGTGGCCTGCAAACTAAAAATATTATATTTTTCAATTGTTGGAGTAAAAGACTATTTAGTGATGTGAAAATTATATGAAAATCTGATTTCAGCATTTATAAATAGTTAAATTAGAATATAGGCGTGCTCACCCACTTGTGTATCATTTGTGAGGCTTTACACTATAATGGTGGTGTTGAGTAGCTGTGGCACAGATCACTGGCCCACAGAGCCTATAATACTGTGTGGCTCTTTGTAGAAAAAGTTTTACTGATCCCTAGATAAAAATCATAATCAGAAACAAGAAGATTTTTTTTTTTTTAAATTTTAGATTATTCCCCCTAAATACCATCCATTTGTCTTAGGTATGTTCAGAACACCTTGAGTAACCACTAAATGTGAATCATTGCAGTTGATGCTCTGAAATGAATAAAAAGCAGAGACCCTGTACTTGGAGACAGTGTATACAAACATGAAATAATGCAAGAACAATTTATATTGAATTAAAAAAATCAAAATTAAAAGAAAAAACAGAAACAAGTATTTTACAATGTAAGATCTAAGTAAGGAGAGTCAAAATTGGAATATAGATTTTTATCTGCCATGCTAACATTGCCAGTCATTTATAAGCGTCTCTATAGTCCAGTATATTCGGACAGATTCTGAGGCTCAGTTCAGGCCCAGCAGGAAAGAAATGTACTAAAGGCTTACAGTGGGAGAGGGAAGGGACACTACAGGTGCCCTTTACCTTCTCAGATACAAACTTCCCAGATCTGCCATGCTCATTTAAAGATATTATTTCTCTACAGGTAGCATACTTTAGTTGCAAATAGCAAAATTTTTGTATGGTTAATTCTTATACATATTACTTGCCATTATGTTCAGCTTTTTTGAACAAATGACATTATGCCTTGGGGAGGAAATTATTGGGAATATCACCCCGATTAAATGAAGTACCGGCTCTTTGCAAATTCCAAAAGCTTGCTTTAAACTTAAGTTGTTGAGGAATTTAGCATAGCACAGTGGAAGGAATATGAGCTTATTAGCAACCAGAAGACCTAGGTTTGAGTCACCTGATATGTAACCTGTCCTCCCCGCAGATGCCACTGATTTTTCTTGCTTCTGATTCTTGGAGTCTTAGAAAATCAAGATTGGTTGAAGATAACTTTTACACTTCTAGATGACTAAGATGGTGACAGTGGTGATAATTGTGTTAGGCAACAGTTTCATGGAAAATAATTCTGTTTCCCTAAATAGTAATCATATTCTTACTGAGAGGTTGTCAGAAAATAGTGTGATTTGGCTTCATGTAGTCATATTCGGGCTTTCTTGGATTATATAATTTTAATTTATTTAAAAGTATGTTAAGGTAAATTTTTTGTCATCAACTTAAGCTGTCTTTACTACTGTAGTCATGGTTTCTTGCAATTTTAACTTCTGGAGAACTTAATTAGAATGAGTGAATACTTCTGTGTAGATACTCAAGTCACCAAGAAATCTTTCTAGCATCCTTTATTCATTTATTTACCTAATGTATGATTAGATTATTTATTAGATTATTTATTAGACATCATAAATTTAGTGCAGATCACAAAAGCAGGATTGAGGATTGTAGATAATAACTGATACTTTGAAACTTTCAGGGCTTTGTTTTATAGTCAAAAATAGAGTTGACTGAATCTGAGCTGTTTTGTGTTTTAAAATTATTTAATGTGAAATTTAAATTTATTAGTACATTTAAATCCTGAGTTCCAGTGTGCCTCATTATTTTTTTTTTTGTTGTTTAGAATTTGCTAACTTGAAGGTATTCGCCACAAATTTAATACACTGTAT